AATACATTTTTATTATTAAATATGTAACTTAAAGTTAAATTTTGTATATATTAAATTATTTTTTAAATAAAATTTGCTAAATATTAAGACAAAGAAGACAATATTTTTAAAATAATAATATCTATTTAACGAGCTTCTCTCTAGAACAAAATTTTCAACGTTATTGTCTGTAAAGAATTTTAGCACACACAATGTTAAAAAAATGGGAAAATATTTATTTTCGGAATATCATATTTACACAAATCTCATGTTATGTTTGTTGCGCAAGTAAAATTCAAACAAAATATAAATATTTCGTTGTATCTACAGTAAGGTACGTATTATTTAACATTTTATAATATATTTTACATAAAATGCTATTAAATCTTGGTTAAGAAAGAGAGAAAGAGAATTGGCAGATAGTTGTTATCTAAAATAATATTTGTCAAATTTTTGTGATAAGAAAGTTATACGAAAATCCAGTGTTCATATCGTAAAGTATTCTTGTAGGTAATTGTTTTGCATGCGTTGGTATTCTTGGAATTCGTTTTTACATGCGGAATTAATTAAAATGTACAAAGTAAAAGTGATGTCCGAACCTCTTTCTTCTCCATATGAACCGACTTGCCACTGCTTCGCATTCGCGCTATCAAAGCACTTTGTGGTTGGCCACAGTGCCACAATTGTGTTCGTGCCAGCCGCAAATACGCGCTTCACAAGCCACGTATCTTTACGATTTCGTAGGGTTTTCGTTGGTTCGTCAAGAATAATTAATGAAAATTTATCAGCTCTCTTTCCTTGTACCACAACCTCGTTCACCGGATCACATTTCCCTTGCTAACGCGATTGACGATAAAGCTTTTTACGTTTGTCGTAAATCTTTTGCCACAAATGCCTTTGCAAAATACATTAGCGCATGTTATGAGAGATAGTTTAATAAGCTGGGCTAATTCTTAATTTTTACGACAAATTCTTTGCAAGCTTGCGAGCTCACGTTTTTAACTTGACGCATATTATAGTATTGAAAAAGATAATATTTTTTGCAAACTAAAATCTTCCACAAATAATTAAATAGAAAGAAGAATATTATTATTATTATTATGTATTACAATAACATTTATGTACTTGCTTCCTAAATTCAAATCACATTTTGCTTTTTTAAGATTTCAATTTGAATTTTAATAAAGTATAATTAAGTTTTTTGTGATAAAAATATTTAATGTTGAATATTAAAATATTTAAATGTATAATAGTTTTCTAAAGTTTCCTCAATAATCTGCAAAATCGATTCCAAATTTATAGGAAATTTTGTGAAAAGTTCAGGAGATTCTAGAATACACATTATATATTATATTTTATTACCGTAATTAACTTATCGTAACTTATTAATACATAATTACCATTTTTGATTGAATTAAAGTATGAAGAGTTATAATATCCACCTGTTTCTTTTTAAATTTATAAAGAATTTATTCGGTATCTATTATTTTAACTCCATTTTCTATAAAGATCGAATGATGTATTCTCTTATGCATGAAGTTATTAAATATTCACGTAAGATATTATATCGATCAAAATAATTCATTTCCATTTAGCGTTATTAAAAGAAATGGTGCATAAAATCGACTAATACGCTTGCAGCCGGAAGTGGCGCGATAATTCATTATCGATTAATCATTGAAACACCGACGAATGTAGCATTATATCCGTACTGCCATTAATATCGATATCAGCTTTCACGATTAACGCCGATTCGCGACGGATTAAACTCGATTCACATCCGCACGGAATCGACATTTCATGGGACAGTAATTTACTCTATAAGAGCACATCACAGAGAAAGAACTTAGAAAAAAATTATTTGTTTTTTCTGAATTTCTTTTGTTTAACGTCATGACAGAAAAAAAATGTCCTCATATGATTTGTTGAAAATTGAAGCCTAATGTACCATAAATTAGGATTATAATTTTGATAAATTTAATTTTTTTGTATAAATATAACATATATTTTGTATCAATAATTATCAATTATATATCGATCATTGTGAGAAAAAATAAACATAAAAATTTACATCTGCAGTATTGAAATCTATTTCCACGAGATTGATTTCAAAGAAGCTTTCATTTGTGTATGTTGTGCATCAATTTCACACAAACGACAGAAATCGAATGCACCCTGCGCAACTTTAAGGCTCCGCAAGCTGCCAAATATCAGGCAGCGTTTTCCTCGGCGACACGAGTCGCCAAAAGAAACCCTCTCTCTCGGAGGGTTGGGCGACGCGGCGGTGTGTTCGCTTGGGTGTTTCGAGGCCGCGTAGTAGGGAGTTTGCGCCTAGCCAGGCCGACTGGCTCGAGCTTGCGAGCTTTCTAGCAGCAGCCAGTCGCCGGCTGCCGGGCCACGACCTCGCATCAACCCGGTTGCTCGTCCGGTTGGTTCGATACTACGTGAGAGAGCTTTCACAGCCACGTTTCTGCTAATCTCTTGAGTACGCATTTGAGCTTTTAATAGACTACATCTTCTGCTGCAATCTTCAGCTACCCATGAAAATGTTACGAAAAGGGACAAGCTCCGCGAAGTTTCAAAAAGACTGTGTTAAAATTCTTAATCGTCCGCAATCTTCCTTGTACAGAGTGTCCAATTATTGTAAGCTTTTACTGTCATACTCGTTACATTAACCGTGAAATTGTTCGATTGACCTGTTTGACTTTTTCATTACATTATTTGCAACAATTATATTATGCGAGGTGTCAAGTGAAAATTTCCGTGGTGCGCGGACTTGAACAGAAAACAGATACAAGTTTTAAGCGCGGAATTTGGACGTGTAAGAATTTGTGTCAGAGATTGTGGTATCGAGGATTGAAGGTCGAGGTCGAGGATGTGAGAATTACATCGTGTGAAGCAAGTGACGCCCATCAGTTGTTTTTCCGAGCAACAGCGGAGTATGGCGGATGGGTGACAGACGCGGATCCACTGTAGGCTGAAGGTGTTTTTCAGCGTCGGTGGGACCATGTGAGGCTTCGACCATGAGGGTGAGCATGTGATTATGAAGCTTTTTTTATAAACTTCAATGGTTAGAAGGTTTCCGTTTTTTCGAGCTCCTTTTTCATTGTAATATTTTTATGTGATTTAGATAATCTAAGACCAATACGATTTAAGAAGTCCGATTCTACAAAAGCATTTATATAAATCGAATGTTAGAAATCGTGACGCGAATCAGTCAGTATTATATAAAAAAATACTGTGAATTATGTTATAATTAGAACGATTTGTGTTGGGATTTCAATTTCAAATTTACTTTCGCCAAATGTTTCCAAACTTCCAAATAGCTATCATCAAAATTACGTAAATTTAAACTTACTTTATCAAATTATAATAATGATAACATTACAAATTATAACATATAAGAAATTTGATTTATGTTGCAAACATAAAATGTTTTAATATATTATATTTAAACTAAACAATATTCAACAAATATCTATTTTAATTATTTACTTGTAAAAAATACTTAAACTATTGCTTGAAAATACTTTTACTTATCAATATTTTAATTATTTACTTGTAAAAAATATTTTACAATAGTGATTTTTGTCAATATTTATATAAAATGACGTATAAATATTTTTTTTATAAAATAATTAATAAATTATTTTTTTTCAAAGTACGTGATCATTTTGATTTTAACTATCGTGTTTATGTAACAGTTACTAAATAATTGGATTATTTAAATTACTTTTAATTTAATATTCATAAATATTTTTTCTAAACAAAAAATATATAAACAGTACATTTAACATTTTATATATTAAATATATTATACAAATATAAAGTTATTTGTTTTTTAATGTATTGAAGAAAGGACAAATAAACTAAATACGCGTTAATTGATTTTTATTTTATTTAAATAGAATTGTGAAATGAATTAATATAATTATTTGCTCTATTAATTTAATATCAAAAGGAATATGAAAAATTTTTACGGAATATGCAGAGAGAATTATCGGAAGTTCACGATTTCCATTGAACGAACATATGGGATACCTAATATAGCTTTTCACCTCTTTGAAACAGCACCAATTATTTCATGCTAACTAATCTCTGTAATTGATTAACTGAAAGCAATTCAGTAGCAAATTATTTCTCTCTTGAAATGTACATTAGTATGGGTGCCGACGTGCTTGGATATGTACTTGCTACATGTTACTCAATTTCAGTTTGCATGTTACAGACCATTTGCGAAGGGAAAAAAATACGTGTAGAAACTGCTCCAAACTTTATTTTATGAAATATATCTTTGTAAAAAATATAACTCGTTAATGAACTTTTATTTGTTTAAAAGATTTTGTAGTCATTTGCTTAGAAACTTATATTAAGAATTTAAGTCGTGATCTAAATAATATCAGTCTGTAACTGTCTTTATGGGATAATTTAACGCCAAATAAAACGCAGTCGAATGCGACAAAACGTATAGTAAGGAATGATTCAAGTGACAACAGATTAAAGTCATCTGGGGAATTACAGTGGGTTAGTTCTCCGTTGCCGTCGACCCCGTAACACCAACGCCATAATACCCGTAGGCGAATTTTCATCCATGGTAGTTGGAGCGCAGCGTGGCATAACTTCTGCAAACTTAGCTGAGTCAAATTGGGAAGTATCCTGGACTGCGGTACTTCGAAATGACTTAATCGATGATTTTGTATCATCTTAACTATCTGCTAAAATAATTATCTCTTCTAATTTAAATTATATGCACAATAAGATGTTTAATATTACAAATATATAAATTTTTATCTTATCTTTTAAATTCTATAAAACATCCAAATATTTTCTTTGTATTACATTCATGCAGGATAAGAGTAGATATAAAATGTGCATTTAATAAGATGTGTAAGAGATTTAAAAAAAATTATATTTAAATTAAGATACGTATTATGTAAAGTTGAAAATTAAAAGTTAAAACCTATTTTTTTGGATGTAACAAAATTTAATTAATATTTATATTATACTATCTGGAAGATGATAACAAATTATTCCTAAATTCAGAGAGGTTCGTAACTACGTCGTCTCCGAGATGCTGAACCACTATTCGAGCCTATTAAAAGATGCATACCATGATAAACTCAGAAACTCGCCATACTAGGCAAGTTCGGTCTCAAACTTGGGTGGTAAATTTTATTTGCACGGCTAACACGTTGGTACTTGCCGAAGATTTTCCCCTTGATAGTTTCGGGCACAGGTTGAAAAAAAAATTGCTCGAGAGACACTCACGACGTACTTCACTTTAAGCTCCAGTTGGCGCGAGAAATTTCGAAAAGTTCGAGACAGGTGTCGACTGAACATCCTCCAAGATAAATTGCACGTCTCGTCTAACAAAAAAAAATCCTGTTTTAAAATTTCAAGCGAATTAAACTTGCAAGTATCTGGTTTTGTGTTATAAACATCATCTTGGTAAAGTAATTTTACTGTAATTACAATCTTATTTTAATTGGGAATATTCAAAATTAAAATTAGAGCGAAGTCTCGTATTTCCAGTGATCCGGTGAATACAGAAATGATACAAAAATGGAAGATGCGCTGGTAAGAAACCGCCAATTAAGAACATAATCAGCAACTGCTCTCAGACTTCAGTAAATGCTGGAATCTGCGAGCCTTCCTTGTATTTCAAGCTTGATATTTATATTAGCAATGCAAATTGGAGTCGGAGTTGCGGCTACCGCTGCAACAACATTCAACGGAGCACGACTACACAACATTCTGTGAACGTTTACATAAAAGTGAAATTAGTAGATATAAATAGTTTACATGTGTACATCTCTCTTCTTTTTAGATGTAATGAAGTTGCAATTTTATAGAAGTAATTTCGGTGTAGAATTAAATGAAATTCAAGCTTTAAACACACGAGTGAGAATTATGGTTCTTTGACATCAAGTGGAATACAGTTTCCATTTATGTTTTTTTCCAAAGTAATTTACTTGTCAACATAAAATATAGAAAATATTTCAAGCCGTTGAAAAACACAAACAATATGCATTTACGGCAAAGTACGTATATTGTTGTGCAATGCAATGCTATTTGCTTGTGTAGTGGAATTTTAAAAACTTCTCGTTAACCATAAGTGAAATAACATGTTTACCTCTCTAAAATAGTTAGAAAATTTTATAACGATGTTATGTTTTTTCATATTCCGAAAAATTCTAGATTCAGACCTTTCTGCGAGCATTTCAAATAATTATTTTAGGGATAAATTTAGTACATGTGGATTATAAATAATAAATTTTACATCTTTAACATGTTTCATTAGACATGAAAAACATTTATGTTTTTTATCGAAAAAAAATTATTTATCTTTTCATAATCAAAGTAGATTAAATAAAATTTAGATTATACAATTTTCATTTAAAACTATGCCTTTAATTAAATCAACATTTAAATAGTTTAAAAGTGATAAGTTTAAGTACGAAGAAGTTGTTGGAAGAGACGCAAATGTCAGACCGTAATGTAGTCAGATTCTCATTAAAGTGAAATTGAAAATGTTTAAATTAAATTAGTTACGCCACTTCCAATATAAATAATCCGTTTTAATCTTAATTTATATTTTCTATAATTAATTTTGATACAGAAATATGTAATATATTTAGCATACATTGATGTATAATTATTCATATAAAACCAAACTCGTCAAAATTTTCATTCGACATAACAACTGTTTTCATACAGAAATTTGTTACAAAATTGTGTAGTAAATGTAATGAATACTACAGTAATTGAATTAACGGGATTTCGATTCTCGATCAATTCTATGAAATCCGTTTACAATTGATATAAAATGATTTTATTGTAATAATATATCGCAGTGTGTTCAAAATAAGTTTACGTTATTGAAGAAAGATGTGAACGCAGTATTTTTAATGAATATAAATTTGAATGTATTAAAGATATAGTTTGATTAATTAGTTAATTATCATGAAACATATAGGAGAAACATAATTGAAGATTAATTGAACAAAAATATAATACGAGATTTGATATTGGGTACGGCATAAATGCATATACGTGCATATTATGTTGTATTATCGTACATATTATGTTACCGTACCTATATGAACATGCGGTAATTGAGCAAAAGCAAAATAGGAAATAGCTGCGCATGTTAGCCGGTGTATAATACAAAATTATTATTGAACTATTTTTACATTTAAATCGCCTTTATTAGCAGTAATCTTTATATCTGATATAAAAAGAAGTTAAGATTGAGATTAAAAATCTCAGTGTCTAATATGAAATGCATAATATGACATAATTTCGATCTAAACATCATTTTTTTAAATAATATTTAGTTTTTGAAAATATATTATTGCTCCTATATATATATATACAAGGAATTTATATTAATATTATTCCAATAAATGTACACCAGAGCAAATGATTAAAAAATTTTTATTTCGTGATATCAATTAATCACGTTTTTATCGTGACTATTGCTACATGATTTATTGTCTATAGATTTATTTCTGTATTTAATTATTGATGAAAATTTTAATAACGAATAAATATAAAATTCATAACATGTATTGTACATTATAGAGTATGCAATCAGTACACAGTAATAATTTGCATAATCGATTATAATACAATAGATATTCTTCCACATACATAACATTTTTAATAATTTTTAGTGTTAGTTGGAATTTTCAATATTATTGGAAATCTCAAAAACAGACGATAAAATAATTTGTGAAAATGGCAGGGTAATTAATATAAAAATCTCTCTTGATAAAAAAAACGATAACTATTTCTTTTTTTATAATAAAAAATTATATGCGAAATATGGACAATGTAAATACATATAAATATAAAAGTTCTTTGATGATCTAACCGACAAGAGGGAATCATGATATGCCTGGATCATCGAAAATACAGCCGAGTGAGGGCTCGATGCCAGCCGTCTAATTATGTATTCCCTCGTTGATCGAAATCCCCGTTTTCCATCCGAGCGACCATACTCGCGCCGCCAACCAACGAGACACAC